GTGAGGCAGTGGGGTGGAGGAGGAGGAGGAGGAGGAGGAGGAGGAGGAGGAGGAGGAGGAGGAGGAGGAGGAGTAGGAGTAGGAGTAGGAGTATGAGGAGGAGGAGGAGAGGAGGAGAGGAGGAGAGGAGGAGGAGGAGGAGGAGGAGGAGGAGGATGATGATGATGATGCTGCTGCTGCTGCTGATGATGAATGAATGATGATGATGATGATGATGATGATGATAAGGAGGAGGAGGCGAGGAGGAGGAGGAGGAGGAGGAGGAGGAGGAGCAGGAGGAGGAGGAGCAGGAGGAGGAGGAGTTGGAGGTGGAGGAGGAGGAGACGGAGGAGGAGGAGGAGGAGGAAGAGGAGGAGAAGGGGGAGAAGTGGGATGATGATGATGATGATGATGATGATGATGATGATGATGATGATGCTGATGCTGATGCTGATGCTGATGCTGTTGCTGATGCGGATGATGCTGATTATCATGATGATGATGCTGATGCTGATGCTGATGCTGATGACGATGATGATGCTGATGATTATGCTGATGATGCTGATGATGCTGAGGAGGAGGAGAAGGACAAGGAGGAGGAGGAGGAACATGATGATGAGGAGACGGCGGAGGACGAGGAGGAGAAGGAGGAGGAGGACGAGGATGATGACGATGCTGATGATGATGATGCTGGTGATTGTGATGATGATGCTGCTGCTGATGATGATGATGCTCATGAGGATGCTGATGCTTATGATCATGATGATGCTGATTATGATGCTGCTGCTGATGATGATGCTGATGATGATGCTGATGATGATGACGATGATGATGCTGATGCTGCTGCTGATGATGATGATGATGATGAGGATGATGCTGCTGATGATGCTGATGCTGATGATGATGATGATGATGATGCTGATGATGACGCTGATGCTGATGATGAGGAGGAGGAGGATGAGGAAGAGCAGGTGGAGGAGGAAGTGGGGGAGGGATGAAGAGGAAGAGGAGGAGGAGGAGGAGGACCAGTTCAAACCCAATACGCATCACCGATGTTGCAATCACGACTCCCTTTCTTGTTGCCTCGTCATCGCCCCCTACAAGTCTTTTTTTTCACTGCGGTGAGAGCCCCATTTGAAGGCAATTGTGGGAGAATGCTCAACCTTGCCAACACACACTTTCTTGGACTTCATCGCTGCGAATCGAGATTACTGTTGCGTCCTGGCAGGCCAGAACCGTACCATAATTCCAGTCGTACCCGCCCTCCATCGTCGAACCTGTTGCGAATGTCAAGCTTCAGGGCCGTACACGGTGAAAATGTCTCAAGCAAAACGCCCGTCCCGCCCTCCCGACCCGTCTCGGGGTGCGACAGGAATGAGTTTGTTCAGGAACTGAGATGGAGGAGGAGGAGGAGGAGGAGGACGCGCAGGAAGAGGAGGATGAGGATGAGGAGGAGGAGGAGGAGGAGGAGGAGGAGGAGGAGGAGGAGGAGGAGGAGGATGATGAGGGCGAGGAGGATCATGCGGAGGAAGATACTGATGATGATGAAGATGAAGAGAAGGAGGAGGGGACGGATGAGGGAGGAGGAGGGATGATGATGATGATGATGCTGATGATGATGATGATGATGCTGCTGATGCTGATGCTGATGCTGATGATGATGCTGATGATGATGATGATGTTGATGATGATGAGGATGATGATGAGAAGGAGGAGGAGGAGGAGGAGGAGGCGGAGGATGAGGGGGGAATGATGCTGATACTGCTGATGATGCTAATGATGATGATGATGATGATGTTTTCTGATTATTATGATGATGATGAGATGTGATGTTGATGATGATGATGAATGGATGATGATGATGATGATGATGATGATGAGATGATGTATGAGATGACACTGCTGACGATGATGCTGCTGTGAGCTGATGATGATGATGCTGATGATTGATGAGGAGGAGGAGGGAGGAGGGAGAGGTATGAGGGTGGAGAGGAGGGAGGAGGGAGGAGAGGAGGAGGAGGAGGAGGAGGAGAGAGGAGGTAGGTGGAGGAGGGAGCGGAGGAGGAGGAGGAGCAGGGGGTGATGATGATGCTGGTGCTGCTGCCGATGATGATGGTGAGGAGGAGGAGGAGGAGGAGGAGGAGGAGGAGGGGGATGATGATGATATTGATGACGGTGATGATGCTGATGACGCTGATGCTGCTGCTGATGATGCTGCTGATGATGATGCAGATGCTGATGCTGATGCTGATGCTGATGCTGACGAAGACGACGACGACGACGACGATGATGATGATGATGCTGATGGTAATGATGATGATGATGCTGATGATGACGATGATAATGATAAATCTGATGAATCTGATATTGCGGATGATGAGGAGGAGGAGGAGCAGGAGGTGGATGTTGATGATTATGCTACTGATGGTGACGATACCGATGTTGAGGCTGATGATGTCGATGATGATGATGACGATGATGCTGATGCTCATGATGATGATACATATGATGCTGCTGACGATGAGGAGAAGGAGGACGATGCCGATGATGATGCCGATTACCATGACGATGACGATTATGATGATGATGCTGATAATGCTGATGATGCTGATGACGATGATGATGATGATGATGATGATGATGATGAACATGATTAAGATGATGATGATGATGATGATGATGATGATGATGATGATGATGATGATGATGAAGGTGATGGTGATGAGGATGATGATGGTGATGACGATGATGATGCTGATGATGATGATGATGATGACGATGACGATGGTGATCATGATGATGACGACGATGATGTTGTTGATGCTGATGACGATGATCATAATGCTGATGCTGCTGTTGATGATGCTGATGATGATGCTGTTGATGATGATGCTGATTCTTCTTATTTTTCTTCTTATTCCTATTATTGTTATCAGTGTAATGTTTTTCTTCTTCTTCTTCTTATTAGGATGGTGATGATTCGTATGATTATTAATATTTTTTAGTATTGTTAGTATTAGTATTATTATATTGACTCTTATTAGTGTGATTATTATTTTTAGTATTCTTTAATTGTTCTCATGATATTATTATTATTGGTATTACTATTATTTTCATCATTCGTATTATTGTTATTACTACTCTTATTTTTCATGACTATTAGTATGCTGAGCGTCCTATGAGTCACTGCGAGTGAGGCCGCCATCTGTGCCCCTCTTTCTCCTGCCGCCACGTGCCTTTGTACCTGCTGTGTTTCTCTTCCTTGGCCTCCTCTTCTTTTCATGGACGGTGCGGCCACCCCGGCCACTGCGTGCCGCTTCAGCGCAGCGTGCCCTGGCCATACGCGCTGTTCGGTACGGTCAGAGCTTGGCGCCACTTGTGCGACAGCTCCTTCCGTCCCCAGTTCGGGCTTGCGTTCCGATTTTGGGTCGCCAGCGTCCTAATGAGGGTCATTTTGTCCCTGGCACGTGCACCTGCTGCCGTGGCCTATGCGCCTCTGCAGCTAATTATCTCGCCCTGCGCCCCAGCCGAGTCCGTCCCGCTTCTTGGATCTGTCCTTGGAGCCGCCAATCAAAAAAAATATCCCCACCAGCCCGTCCAGAAATGAACCCCAGGGGCGTGGAGGTGATGAGGGAAGCGGGGGAGCATGCAGGGTAAACCGCCATATATGATCCAGGGTCGAGGGTTCACGGCCCCCCCCAGATGGTATGGTCCCAGGATTCCTCGGCCCCCCCCCAGATGGTATGGTCCCAGAGACGACGACGACGACGGCGACGGCGACGACGACGACGGCGGCGACTACGACGACGGCGACGACGACGACGACCACGACGACGACGACGAAGGCTGCGGCGGCGACGACGCCGGCGGCGGCGGCGGCGACGACGACGATGACGACGATGACGACGGCGACGACGATGACGACGACGACGACGACGACGAGGACGACGAGGACGACGAGGACGAGGACGACGACGACGACGACGACGACCTCTGAACCACCACGGCACCACACCACATCCTTAGGGGGGGGAGGGGGGCACCGCAGCGCAGCACCATGCCATGCCCACTTCTGAACCACCACAGCACCACACCGCATCCACAGAGGGGGGGGGGCACCGCAGCGCAGCACCACGCCACGCCCACACGGGGGGCGGGGGGGACCATCGCGCG